ACCACAGCATTTCAGAAAACACCACAGCATTTCAGAAAACACCACAGCATTTCAGAAAACACCTACAGCATTTCAGAAAACACCACAGCATTTCAGAAAACGCAACAGCATTTCAGAAAACACCACAGCATTTCAGAAAACACCACAGCATTTCAGAAAACACCACAGCATTTCAGAAAACACCACAGCATTTCACATTGGACGGAAAGGGTATTCCTTTAGGGAGAAAACTTCTTGTTTGTGATTGGACAGAGCCAGCCAGAGTGGCACTCTATATTGGTTGTTTTTGCTGCCAGTCAAGAAATGACGCTTCGTGATTGGTCAACACCCGACAGCGAAATATGTCGCAACACATCAGCCGTTAGCACACACTCAGAGCTCACAGCTCCTCATATCTGTTCAGAAACTGGACAAAAGTTAAACATGTACAAACCACAGACTGTCTATGTCATGGCGAATACAGTCGCTGCTTTATTTATGTCTGTATGACGTTGTTGTGAGTTTGGACGGAGCAGCTACAGGTTAGTTTAGCCTGATGGATCTGATTCCATTCAGAAAACACGCATTTTAAAAGCTAACGTCATACAGACATAAATAAAGCAGCGACTGTATTCGCCATGACATAGACAGTCTGTGTTTTGTATGTTTAACTTTTGTCCAGTTTCTGAACAGATATGAGGAGCTGTGAGCTCTGAGTGTGTGCTAACAGCTAACAGCTGATGTGTTGGGCCAATCACGAAGCGTCATTTCTTGACTGGCAGCAAAAACAACCAATCACAGCAGTGCTTCTCTGGCTGGCTCTGTCCAATCACAAACAAGAATTGTTCTCCCTAAGGAATACCCTTTCCGTCCAATGTGAAATGCTGTTGTGTTTTGTGAAATGCTGTGGTGTCTTGCACTTCAGGGCCACCGTAATATTAGGATATAAAGTTGTAATAAAAATGTGTGATTAAAAATGTTAAATTAAACAAACAATTTATATAAACATAACAAATGTAAGTTAAAATGTGCAATACAAATACAATGAAATAGGTCAAATATTTATATATATAAAAAAAGACTTATAGTAAAAATAAAAGTAGTTAAAATTGCAATAAAAATGCAAAAATGTGTATATTGCAATATATAACAAACAGTAATGATTCAAACCAGATTATTGTCTGAAATGTACAGTGTAAACTATTAATCCAAAGAAATATAAGTATTGCACACTTTAAGAGGGGTTAAACTGCTGATGGGTGATGTAAGTAGTAAATACTTATTTTAGTCACATTATTTTCTATTCAAATCCTCCCCATCCTCCAGTACGTTGTCTCTTTGTGTCCTGTAGATGCTTCTCTTCTTAGTGGCTGTGATCACGGCGGCTCTGAACGGGCAGTGGATCGGTCCGGCTTCCACGGAGGTGATGTTCCAGATGCGGGCGGTGGAGGAGGAGCACGGCCTGGGGAACCAGGTCGGGCTGGGCAGCGAGAAGGAGGAGTACGCTAAACTCAGAGAGAAGGACCCCAAGTACAAAGCCTTCAAACGCACCTTCGGGAAATACCACGGGATGTCCATGCTCTGCAACCTGATCGGGTTCCTCTGCACCACCAGCAACCTGATCTACACCGCGCTCAACCTGTCCACCATTTAGAGGACAGTAGATCACCATGGACTTTTGTATGGTTCAAAATAGCCAAACATTAAAGTGTAAAGACATCATGTTCATGTGCATAGAATATTGTATTCTTTGGCATTATGCAAAAAAATACACTATTATTGATGACTTCAAAATGGGTCCAGCTGCGGAGCTCCATGCTGGGGCCCACCTCCTCTGTAGGACCTTTATGTTAACTTAAAAAAAATCGACATCTGATATGATAGCATTCATTCACTATTTTAAATAAGCAACAACCAATAACACCAAGATAAAATATAAAACCTTAAGATTTTCATTTACCTAACGTATAAAGTTAGGTACATTAACGCTAAGCAGCAAAAGATTATCCTTAAGTTTGCAAACACTAGCTAACTATTATTGTCGTAAGCAAACTTAACGCTATTCATTTGCATTAAGCTTTTGTATATACTTTTTTGTTCTAAGGTTAACATTACCTGGCTCACGACATTAGCTAGCTGAAATGAGCGTTTGCTAATAAACATAATTTAGGTAACGTTAACGTTTTTATGTTACAGTTAAATATTAAAGGTGTATTGTTTACTTTGGTGTTATTGGTGGAGGTTGCGCGGCATAAAGGAGATACAATTCATTAAATACACACACTCTCTTATTCATTAACATTAAAATCAATAAAACAATACACTAAGCTTTTTACCAAATAGGCATATAAACGTTATTGTGTAAATGTGCGTGATTTCACCTTAGCATAGAACTCAATAAAGGAGGGTTTGAGCCTGGAGTTCAATAAATCAATGTTTATTTATATAGCCCAATATCACACGTTACATTTGTCTCAGTGGTCTTCACAGTTTGTACAGAATATCAGTATGACAATACGACACCCTCTGTCCTTAGACCCTCACATCGTACAAGGAAAGACTTCCAGAGAAAACCCACAGTTTAAAGGGAAAATGGGAGAAACCTCAGGGAGAGCAACAGAGGAGGGATCCCTCTCCCAGGACGGACAGACGTGCAATAGATGCCGTGTGTAAATTGAAGAAATAATACATTTTACAGCATAGGTAGACCGAATGTTTGGAAATGCATGTGTCTGTAATAAGAAGATGAATCCACGAGGATGTCAGCAATCCTGTGGAAGCCATCAGGGAAGCAGCATGGCGAGACCCAAGGCAGGACCGCAGAGACAGGTTCAGCCACGACTCGAAGTCCAGGACTCAGGATCCCGGCGTAGACACCAAAAAGAAATTTGGGGAAAGCTGGGTTATTGGGAACATGAGAGTACACAGGTACAGACAGAGAGAAGGAAGAAGTAAGGTGTCCCCCGACAGTCTAAGCCTATAGCAGAAAGACATTATTACTTGTACAGTTTTTGTCTCAGTCAGTTCATCACTTTTCCTGCTGTCAATCAGTCTCTAATTAAAGCAGTCTTACAAAAACAGGATGTATTTTCATATCTTTTATATTTGATTGTAAGGCTTGATTATATTTCTCATGATAACACCACCTATAAAGAAGCACACCTCAGTACTGTGTGTGTGCAATTCCCTTTTATCCCCACCAGGAGGCGATGTAAGACACAGGTGTATTCAAGGGAAAGTGTGTTGCTTTGTGAAATAAATATTTCCAAACATTTGAATAAAACCAGGGGCCTTTCTCATTCCTCTAATTTCCCCTCCTCGGTCCTCCGGTAGTGACCCGGAAATGGATTTCAGCGCACCATGTTGAAGGACATCTCATTTCTCTAACCGCCTGTTGCTTTCCCTCCTCTCTCCTCGGTTCCCCTCCTCGATTCCTCCGCTCGCATCTCCTGTGGGCGGGACTAAGACACGAGGATAGGAGTCGATGAGGGGAGTCTCCAACTAACACGTGTTGTGTTTTGCTGTATTGCTTTAGAAAGAAGCCACTGGGTTTGTTTCCTAATAGGTTCTCATTGACGAGTGAACCCAGAGCCTGCGTTTGGAACAGGGAGGTTTTTATTTAATTACTAATGACGCACATCAGGTTTTAGAGGACCCTTAAACGCAGAGACGATGCTCTGCAGGATGAGTGTGTCCTTGTTTCAGCTCCATCAGCACTAATGGATTATAAAGAAGGCATTTCAATATACAAAGAAGTGAATATAAAGGGTTCCATAATGTAATTCATGTAAATGTGTATTTCTGTATTCCAGTAATGGTTTAATGAGATGTGTCTTGTTAGTAAAATAAACGATGGACAAAATAAACTCTTATTTTATGCCATTTTTTATTTATATTTAGTATAAGCTAAACATCTGAATCTGTAAAAAGAGGTCAGATGAATACAGTGGAGAAAGAAGTATTGGCTCATATCATATGAAGCATATTAAAGTAAAGTATTGAGTAAATGTACTTCATTAAGTCTGGTTTGGTACAAGGAAGTAAGTCCTGGTTGTTTTGAAACACCTCAGTGATTTTTCTCAACCTTTCCTGTGAAGTTTCTCGCTCCAGTGGCATCAGGACATAAAGTGCATCTATTTAACCAAAGGATGAGTTGATCCACTAATCTCTAAAGGACACGGACTGGGAGAGAGATCAAGAGAAAGGTTCATTTAATCCTTAAAGCTCAAGAAGTGGCCGGTCAAAATAACCCCCAAAACAACTATAAACAGTAGTAGATCAGGCACACACACCTTTTTTCTTTCTCTAATGACCTGCCTGCCCATTCCCATCACATCTCTGTGTGGTCCGAGGTGATTCTCCTCTGTGTTTCCTCTCCACACACACACACACACACACACACACACACACACACACACACACACACTCAATAACGTGCCTCACACTTGTCTTGTTATTTGTACTTATGCCATTATACGCTATGTACGCATAATGGCGTACAAACACGCACACATGAAAAGATGACAGCCGGAGGTGATGTGTCCTCCTTTGAAGCGTCTGCACACACACACACACACACACACACACACACACACACACACACACACACACACACACACACACACACACACACACACACACACACACACACACACACACAGACACAGGCCATTAGACTGTTAAACACCTGGACCTTTGGAAGAACATCCATAACATTCATCTGTTTGCAGCATATCAGCTTTGTTGGCTCCCTTTCCTATAGTGTGTTATATACGTAGGTTTTAGTGCATGTCAATGGTCTGCAAAGGCTAAAATCCCGGTGCCTGAAATGCTCCTTTTTTATTTTTCTAATTTTTCATGTTTATAAACGTAGAAAGAGTCAGAATTGGCCAAGGGGCTGAATATAAAATGAGAAGAATCAAACAATATAAACAGCCATAGACTTATTTAACGTTATGTTATTTAAATTGCATTTGAGTTCAGGCCATTTTGACATTTATTTTATACAGTTTTAGTTTTTTTTGGTCCATATTAATTAATGATCAGAAGGCCAGATTGAGGTCATTTTTAAGGGATGGATTTGGAGAGGTCGCATTATCAGCCTGCTTTTGGATCATTTGAATCCGTGCAGACATGAAGGTAATGTTTTTGTTACACTTCCTCCAGTCTGTGTTCCAAGTAAAACACGAGGAAGTCAGGAAACAAAGGAAGTGTTGAGGCTCCAAACTCGTTTCACCCTCCTTCGTCTCTCTGCCCTCTCACAGGGAAACACATTTGTCTGGAAGAAAGAAAAACAGAGACTCAGGGGCCATTATCCCGATCTCCATTAATACTGAGCAGCAGCGCTGCAGTATCATGGTCTGTTCAATGAATGATGAGTCTGGAAGGCTATGGCAGCTTTATTCAATCATGGCTAATGTGGACATGTAGAGCTCATTTGCAAACTGTCTGCTCTCAGTGATGGATGGGCTACTATGTCGCATACAACACTGAAATGTTATTATCAAAGGCTACTGGGTTTAATACACACACACATGCACACACACACACACACATGCACGCACACACTCACACACACACACACGCACGCACACACTCACTCACACACACACACACGCACACACACACCTGCGTTACAGTTATCAATATTTCTCTGTGTATCCAACACAACTTTCAAATCTAAAAAAACAAAGATTCAAAGACTTTATTTTCACATGAACATTACAACATAATTTGGGAAATTCAAATCTTAAATCCCAGGCTCCTCCAACAATACAACTTACTAAAAATAAAGATAATAGTGGATTAAATGACACATAATGGTGCGAGTAAGATGCAGGAATCTGAATCATAAATACATATACAATAGAATATCATTAAAATGAAATACAGTTGAACAGTATACTTAATATCGTGATAATATATAGAGATTCAATCATTGTACCACGAAGATGAACACAATAACTCACGACTTTATTATTAAACATGTGTTTTCGAGGAATATTATTAAGTAGAAGAATACACTACTCTATTTTTCTCTGGATACCAATCTATACTGAGTACTTTACCTTAAAGGGGACCTATCATGCAAAATGCACTTTGTGATGTCTTTTATACATAAACATGTGTCCCCGGTGTGTCAGGGAACTCACGCAGCGTCAGAAAATAAAACCCTCCCTCTTTTCCTCCGTGCCCACATCTCTAAAAACGGGGCTACAACGGAGCTGCTCCAGATTTGCGTCCGATATGACGTAATATCTGAAATGTGGACCCACGGCCCAATCAGAAACGTTGCTATCAGATGGTAGGTGTTTACATTAGCATCGCTAACACTCAGAGCTAACCTGTACTGGAGAGCATGTGTGTGAAGAAGCAGGAAGTAAAAAGGAACTCACCTTGTGGTATAACCGGCAAGAGAGAAAGCCTTTGAGCTCCATACTGTTTCAGAGAGAATCCTTGATAATCCATGATATGGCGTTTCATCACGGCAGCATTTAGTTTAGACAGTAGCTGCCGGGTCCCGCATGAGCTCAGCCCCCCCCTCAATTTTCTTTATTTTCTTAAAGCCAAATCAGCACTTTTGAAACAGGAAGTGAAATAGAGGGATATAGAATGGGTGATCTGTTTGGTATTTTGAGCAAAACACTTCATGTGTTTTATATTTTTTTATATATCGGAGACCCATGCTATTGCCTAAAAATAGCATGATAGACCTTTAAGTGACTTTTATGATGAATTTATGATCCTGAGTCGTGGATCCTGAGTAGTGGCTCTGCCTGATAATCACCTTTTCCTTGTTTCCTTTCCTTGATGTGAGGTTCCAAGGACAGAGGCAGTTGTATTAATATTCTGCTGTACAGTGTGTTAGCTTGTTTTGATGTTTTATTTGATATTTGTATTCACATGAATTGTGTTGAAGTGTTTGTTTTCAGCTAAACAACATGCCCTGTAATAAAGTGTTTTTAAAAGTACTCATATTGTGTTCTGTTGAACTTCGACTTAATGCTTTCACTGTTTTTGCAAAGCACTTAGTACAGAAAAAGGAATAGGGCCAAATTAGATTTTTGGGGAAGCGACCTAAAATAAATAAAAATGAATTATGACTTTAATTTCAGAATTTTAAGAAAAAAGTCAAAATTCTGAGATTTCCAGAATAAAATAAATAATTTGTTTTTCAGAATATTTTTCAGAAATAAAATACATTGTTTTCAGAATTCAGAGATTAAAGTTAAAACTCTTATTTTTTAAAACTTTTGGTCTCATCCCAACATCTTTTTTCTCAGCTGGCCCTAAGGCTCTTCCGTCGCACACACACACACACACACACACACACAACACACACACACACACACACACACACACACACACACACACACACACGCACACACACACACACACACACACACACACACACACACACACACACACACACACACACACACACACACACACACACACACAGGGAGCTGCAGAGATCCTGGAGCCGCTGCTCACCGTAAACAAGGAAGCGCGAGAAAGTCTCCGGAGTTTGGGCTTAGAGCAGGTCGCTGCCGGTCTGTTTCTGGAGCAGTAGACACATTTCAGTTTTACTTTAACAGCTTGTTTAACTTCTCTGTTAAAAAACGGAAGACAGTCATCGACAGAGAGTCTAAAGGAAACCGGGTTTTATTTCCTCTTCAGAAGGTGAGTCCTCGGTCTGAAGCTCCACTGGCTTTACCCAGAGGTTTCAGTGCTGGAAAACTTCTCTGAATGACATTATTTAAGCACTTGTCTTGGATAAATTGCAAAGATGACTTTTTGGTTAACGACGTTGTTATTATCTGTACGTTTAAGATGGTAACCCCAAAGTGTTGTGCATTTTAAATGAGTTTATTTCCTTTTATAAAAGCCCTTAAATTAAAGGAAAAATAAGAATTAAACACTATTGTTCAGCATCAGAATTAGAAATCCTTCGTCCCACAGTAGGGACATGTACATTGTTACGGCAAAGGTGACAGTAGATAACATTCAGAATAAAATTAGTAGCTATTAGATAACCATATGATTTACATAAAAAGCCCTACTTTAATGTATTATAATGTATTGGACATTTTAATGACTACCCGTCTCTGTCTTTTGTATACAAATGATCCTATTAGATTTTTGGTGAACTATGTGAAAGCCATGTTGTTTTATAAATGTGAAATGTCCCTTCATGCCCAAGTGTTAGTTGGCAGAGATGGCAGAGGTAATCCGTAAAAAGGTAAAGTGATACCAAATAGCAAAAACACTCTGTTAAAAGTAAAAGCCTTGTATTTTAAATCCTACTTACATAAAAGTACAAGTAAAATATAAGTACAAGTAAAGTTTTTGCATCGAAATATACCTAAAGTACCAAAAGTAAAAGTACACGTCAAGGGTTATGTCCCATTTTAGAACCATATGTATTCATTGACTGGATTAAAATGACTGATGCATTAATGCGTTTATATACTGCTGCTGGATATCTCCACCTATAATTATATAGCAATGTGTATTTGAAGCTGTCAGATGCATTTAAGGGAGTATAAAGTACAATATTGGCTTTTAAAATGGAAGGGAGTAGATTTATCGAGTTGCTTAACATGAAAATACTCGGGTAGTACCTCAATAGTACCTCAATGTACCTCAAAATGATACTTAAGTCCAGTTTCTGTTCATTAGATTTTGTATTCATGCTTGCAGGTATATCTCCTTCAAATGAGACCCACATTGTACTATTGTTGCTTAAAGTTACATACAGAGGTGGGAAGTAACCAATTTACTCAAGTACTGTACCATTTTGAGGTACTTGTACTTTACTTGAGTAGTTTATTTTCAGGCTACTTTGTGCTTTTCCTCCACTACATGTATTTAATCCCTTTAGTTACTTCACAGATGTGGATGAAGGATGTGAAATATAATCAAGTGTTAAATCAGACTTTAGTTCCACCTGGAGTAAATTCACAAGCTACAAAGTCATTCAAACTAGCTGCACCTTTACCAGCTTTGAGAACACTTTCATGATCAATCATTATAAAACATATCATAAGTATTTTGGAGGAAGAGTTGAATGTCTGGATTTCACGGCAGCTGCTGATGTGGGACACTTGATCAAAGTCATCACAGCTGCTCAGTGGGATACAGATGAGTGAAATGATGACGTATTTCTGTAGGACGACACAGAAGTTAGCATCACAAGGGTTCCCTCGACAAAAAGCCTATTGGTTTTTCCATTGAGTTTTGAAATATTGTAGGAAATAAGATCTATGGCAAACACACGTTTATGATACTAACACATTTTGATCAGCATGATAATCGACACATATTAACACCTATTTTATGATTTTTTGAAGTGCAAAAGTAATAGTAAAAAGCTAATGTTAGGCTATAAAGGAACTACATCACGGTCACATGACTTCACGTCGCCACTGCTAAGCTAAAGGTGGCTAATGTCGGGCTATAAAGGAACTTCATCACGGTCACATGACTTCACGTCACCATCGCTAAGCTAAAGGAGGCTAATGTTCAGCCTGATGACGTTTAGTCGTCTAATTTAGACACTTGTTAGCAACCGCTGTTTTTAAGACCCATAAAAGCTTCAGACATTCACCAGTGGGGGATTTACTGGTGTGTTTTAGGTCGCAGAACAAAACGTGAACATTTCTGCAGCTTGTGTTAACAACAGACCCAATTTCAGGCTTCTAGCCAAAAAGTACCCGCTAGCCGGTGCTACGCTATATGGAAAGGCCACCAAAAACTGGCCTGGCCGCTTGAGGACGATTAAGGACGCTTAAACGGGGCTACCCGCTGCAGTGGAAATGCGCCATTAGTTGTTTGTTCTAAAGCTACGAGCTAGTAAACATTTTGATAATTATGACATGGCGTCTTTCAGACTCTCCAATATTGAGATTACCTGATTGTCTCTGCTTGATATCAAATGTATGTGTTAAAGTGTGACTTTTTAACACATTTTCTCAGATTTGATAAACTAGATAGGACAATGTTCTTCATGTTCTGAAATTTTAAAGATAAAAACATAGTAAGCAGATGAATCAACAATGAGAAATGATCTTCAGGTTCAGGTTCCCTAGTTTTCAGATGTTCATTATTCTCCACATAGTTTTGGTTGCAGTGCATACACAACAAAAAGCATCATACATAAAACAGAAGAATACTTCCTGATGGTATTTCATTGAATCAGCAGTGTGTGTGTTTCTTGTAAGTTCTTCACATACTTAGAGGGAACTACCCATCACAGAATTAAGCAACTTCTTCTGTAACTTCAAACATGTTGTCATTAATATGACACCTTTGTGAAAAAGGGAAGAGAATACTGTTGACTTTAAAAGTGCTGTTTGATTAGCCTGCAGACATCCTGAGATGCAGAGTAAACATACAGGACATGTGACTGGGGTTCCCTCAGGGTTAAGATGGAAATAGCAGCGTGTTGGAGTTGGATCCATGCTATGGGACCTTTTAAGTAGAGATGGCAAAAGTACACACATCCTTTACTCAATTAGAAGTACGGATACTCGTTTTTTAAAATATTCTGGTAGAAGTAGAAGTACTGACTAAACTACTCCAGTAAAAGTAAAGAGGCTTTGAAGTGTACTTCAATAAAAAGTACCCATAACTAGCAGCTGTTTTAAAGAGTACCTGACCTCCCTTTATATTAATAGAACAATAATGTCATTGTTAGCTAATGAATGTTTCCATGACAACGTTTTCATTGGTCCCTCTTCTTTAGAGATGACCAGGAAATGATGGATACACGGATCGTGTTCAAATCAATAGGCACGCAATGACTCTAAATAATAATGATCACGCCACCAGACACACATTCAAACTAAAGGAACCAGCTGTTTGGAAAATGAGAGAAGGAGAAAGTACAGGTATTTGAGTTCAACATGTAAGAAGTAGAAAGTACAGGTATTTGTGTTCAACATGTAAGAAGTAGAAAGTACAGGTATTTGAGTTCAACATGTAAGAAGTAGAAAGTACAGGTATTTGTGTTCAACATGTAAGAAGTAGAAAGTACAGGTATTTGTGTTCAACATGTAAGAAGTAGAAAGTACAGGTATTTGTGTTCAACATGTAAGAAGTAGAAAGTACAGGTATTTGGGTTCAACATGTAAGAAGTAGAAAGTACAGGTATTTGTGTTCAACATGTAAGAAGTAGAAAGTACAGGTATTTGTGTTCAAAATGTAAGAAGTAGAAAGTACAGGTATTTGGGTTCAAAATGTAAGAAGTAGAAAGTACAGGTATTTGGGTTCAACATGTAAGAAGTAGAAAGTACAGGTATTTGGGTTCAACATGTAAGAAGTAGAAAGTACAGGTATTTGGGTTCAAAATGTAAGAAGTAGAAAGTACAGGTATTTGGGTTCAACATGTAAGAAGTAGAAAGTACAGGTATTTGGGTTCAACATGTAAGAAGTAGAAAGTACAGGTATTTGTGTTCAACATGTAAGAAGTAGAAAGTACAGGTATTTGTGTTCAACATGTAAGAAGTAGAAAGTACAGGTATTTGGGTTCAACATGTAAGAAGTAGAAAGTACAGGTATTTGGGTTCAACATGTAAGAAGTAGAAAGTACAGGTATTTGGGTTCAAAATGTAAGAAGTAGAAAGTACAGGTATTTGGGTTCAAAATGTAAGAAGTAGAAAGTACAGGTATTTGGGTTCAACATGTAAGAAGTAGAAAGTACAGGTATTTGTGTTCAACATGTAAGAAGTAGAAAGTACAGGTATTTGTGTTCAACATGTAAGAAGTAGAAAGTACAGGTATTTGGGTTCAAAATGTAAGAAGTAGAAAGTACAGGTATTTGTGTTCAACATGTAAGAAGTAGAAAGTACAGGTATTTGGGTTCAAAATGTAAGAAGTAGAAAGTAAAAAGTCGTCAGAAAAATAAGTAGTGGAGTAAAGTACTGATACCAGAAAAATGTACTTAAGTAACACAAAACATTTCCCCCAGGGTCCCGACACGGCGTCATGTGATTTCACAGTCCCTGGAGATTAGAAAGACATAAACACAGCACTTTATGTCCCAGAGAGCCCTTTTTAGGATTGTGGTTATAGGGCGGGGGATTTACCTTGGTTTCACATTCATAAGGTAACGTTGTGAAACAGGGTTGTGTCTTAGTTTGTTGGTGGAAATAAGTTTCATGACAACATCAGCAGACTGTGTGGAAAGGAATGCTGAACGATTTAGAAACACAACAACTCATTGTGAACATTTTGAGTGTTGCAAGGATGACGTATTTGTATAGCATCTTAAGGGCTCTTTCAACAAAAAGTGTATTTGTTTGATAAATAAGCTCGTTTACACTATTTGATCGGTGTAAATACTATCTCCAGAAGTACAAAGATAACATTGATTCATGATATTGGAGCGATTGATCTTTCAGATGTGTTTTTATTAAGTCTGTAGAATACCATTTTGTTGGCTTGGATATCTCTGCAGCTCCACAATACTTCATTAAAAATGGCATAACATACCTTGTTTCGAGTATCGCACCGGTCCATATTGCGATTTCTTTAACATTTTGAGTAATTGTGCAGCCCTAGTAGAAGTCACATGAGTGGACAATGAAGGTAATGTTGATGGTTGACTTTAATTCAAAGTTAGTTAATACTTGTCACACCTTTGGGAAGCTTGTAAACATTGCATTAATTGCAGGGTTTTGTCTACTTTCGGCGTGCGCCCTCATACCAAAATGCAGATTTTCCCCGAAGAATTTGAAAGTGATGCCAGAAAACAATATTTCTGCCAAAAACTGTATAATTACTCCAAAAATATGAAGATTGTGTTAAATAGAGCATCAGACGGCAGAGACAGCTTTGTTTTAAAGGAGCTCCGATGCTGTGTTGTTGTTTACGTCCGCGGTGTCATCTTGTATACAGACGTTATGTCCTCGCGATAATTTAGATATCTAATATACAAGATCAGTGCCACAGTATTGCCTTCCTACTGTATCTTTCTAGAAAAACCCCTGGACAGTAACACATTTCATAAAGGCGAGGCAAGCTTATTTAAAGGGGACCTATCATGCAAAATGCACTTTCTGATGTCTTTTATACATAACTATGTGTCCCCGGTGCGTCAGGGAACTCACGCAGCGTCAGAAAATAAAACCCTCTCTCTTTTCCTCCGTACCCAAATCTCTAAAAACGGGGGAACAACGGAGCTGATCCAGATTTGCGTCCGATATGACGTAATATCTGAAATGTGGACCCACGGCCCTATCAGAAACGTTGCTATCAGAAACAATGCCCGACTGTTTTGGACGTAATATGGTCGGTGTTTACATTAGCATCGCTAACACTCAGAGCTAACCTGTACTGGAGAGCATGTGTGTGAAGAAGCAGGAAGTAAAAAGGAACTCACCTTGTGGTATAACCGGCAAGAGAGAAAGCCTTTGAGCTCCATACTGTTTCAGAGAGAATCCTTGATAATCCATGATATGGCGTTTCATCACGGCAGTATTTAGTTTAGACAGTAGCTGCCGGGTCCCGCATGAGCTCAGACCCCTCCTTTTTTATCTATATATTTAAAAAAAAAGCTTTATACCCCAAATCAGCACTTTAGAAACAGGAAGTGAAATAGAGGGATATGAGGCATGGCTAATGGGTGATCTGTTTGGTATTTTGAGCAAAACACTTCATAGACATGTTTTTTAAATATTATTATCTGAGACAACAGGCAACAGGAACACATAACATTTTAACATTTAAATACCTTTTTAAAATTTCATTAAAAGCCAAGAGAATAAAAAGAAAACAAGCTCAAATAGAAAAAGTCAGGGATACAATACAAGAACAAAAGTTACAGTGCAGTGTTAGAGATGGAGTTGTTCCAAATAAATGGAGCTTTAAATCTATAGGTTGCTCCAAATCACAAAACGTTGTATCACTGAAAACACAAGGGAAATATGTGTTCAGTGAAACATATTTTCTTGTATTTAATAATTCACGAGTAAAACAACGGTTAGGGTTTGTGGTGTTTCGGTACTAATGCACCCATCAGTTTGAATAGAGTATTTCAAAACACAGCTGTTTAACAAGGGAGGACTTGAATGGATTTTTGCAAAAGACACAGATTTCCCAGTCGTTTCTCAGCCCCCACTCTTCTTCTTCTTCTTCTCCTTCGTATCCGTGGCGCTGGTATCAGTGTGATAGATATCTGCTTCCTGCTCTGGAGGTTTCCATCTGGCCGTTAAAAGCTGAGTGAACTCGTTGCTTCGACCACTAATGGCTCTTTCTGGCAGCTGAGGCCGGTCTCCACGGAGATTAGTCTCACCAGAGAGATTGATCAGCCTGTGTGTGTGTGTGTGTGTGTTTGTGTGTGTGATGGCCAGGTAACCTGATCCCTGTCTTCAGTAGGGATCACTCTGAGATGAGTGGTTACAATAAAAGCAGATGGCACAGCTTTTTCGTCATTTAAAGTGTTCGCTATATCTACACATTATAGCTCACTGTTATCTTTCTAACTTTGATTACACACCTTTTAATGGAGTCGTTATAGGGTCACATTGATCAAAGATGGATTTATTGATTTACAAACTGACCATGTGTGACCACCGTGTTGTGAAAAAATAGTCCGTAAAACTGCGAGCAATGGCTGAACAGCAAAGTAACTTAAAATGACGGCAAAACTGATGGAGGTTTTCTGTAACTGTCCGAGTCTGCTCACATTATATTTTCCATGAACCAGTCTTTAAACACTGCTAGATGTTAGACTGTGTTCACTTTAGTTTGAACTTTCTGTCTGTCTTCTTCTGTTGATTTCTCTGTCGTCCAGCACAATGTCCACAAATATAAAAATACATATTTGAAATATCCCATGTTGTTTTTGTGGGGGAAACTTCTGAAGCAATTGGAGTCAGGACTCAGAGAGACACGATGGAGAGCTGGAGCTTTGATGGCAAACACTGACGGTTTATTTGGAGCTTCGGCCGGAGAATTCACACGACATGTCACGGGCCACGAGTTGACCACACGGTAGAGATGCCTTAATCAATTCTGAAGAACTCTACCCCAGACCCATGTATTTAGCTAGTTCAGAGAGAATAATCAACATTGTGCATAACAAGATAGAACCATAACACTATCAGCTGACGCCATCAGGCAGGAACAGGGAGACAAAACATTGAGAGCACAGCAGCCAAGGTTACAGGTGCGTGTCCTTAGCAACAGTCTGCTAATGAAAAATGCAGAATGTTTTAAATGGACCAATCAGCATCAAGTATTCATCTAAGCCACATAATAAGGGCTGCAGACTGATGTATGGACTTTTTTTTGTAAATGTTCAATATTTATCTTTCATTGTTTTTGTATTATCATGTATTAGGAAAATATAAATTACAGACATTACAGCTTATAATGAACATTACCCCAAAAAAAACATACTTTTGTTCATTAATGTATTTTCAAAACTAGCCACAGTGCAAAATCTCATCTGGCTTATTGATAACCCAAACAGGGATCACATGCAGTTTCGGATATATCTAAATTTGAGAAATGTATTCTTCTGGGTGGTTTGCTGGTGGTTGATTTGTATAAATACCTCTGTTGTGTTAGTCATTGAAGCTTGGCAGATGTTTTGTGTTGTTACACCCATGTTATCCTGAACTTTAATGCATGTGTACAGAGCACATTGATACACTTGACGGTTGCCATCACCAATAATGTGCAGTGCATCACCTGTAAGCTTGCAATCATGCATTTGCATCCTGGCGTATGTGCAAAAATGTTTGCCTAATTGCTCCTCTAGTGGTCCAAAACTCCACACAGAACTTTGAAGTCGACAACAAGAGATGAAATGTCAGTGCCAGGGACGTTTGTTGCATGCCATTCTCCATCCTTTACTCCCTTAACCCCCCTTATCTCTGTCTCTACAACAGCTCTGATCATCAAAATTCTTCTATCAGCAAAAAAAAAGTGAATTTCAAGCTTCTTCTTGATTGGGAGGTTTTGCTGCATTCCTTTATTCATAACATTATGAATTGAATATTTTATGTTTGAGAACTATATGGGGATAAAACAAGACATTTGAATGCATTTCCTTGAGCTTTGGGAAATTGTGATAGGCCTTTTTAACTGGTTTCATAAAATGTTAAGCTGGATGTGATAACACTAGCAAACAGTTTCTTATTTACACATCTAATCTTACAGAGAGACGTTAGCATTTATTATAATAGGTGTTGTTCGTCCACTTGGCGAATGTACGTCCAGTATTGACTCTCTCTTAGCTCTGTTTTTCGAGAACAAAATATGACATCTTGATATTTGAGAAGACTTATTTTGCTTTTTTGTCATTACAAAATAGTAGATCATTATTCGAAAATAAATATCATGCCAGCTTTAAGGTCGAACTTAAACTGTGGCTGTGAGGGAGTGCGGTCGTCTTTCAACCAGAAGGTTGTTGGTTCGATCCCAGTCAATGCAGTCAACATGTCGATGTGTCCTTGGGCAAGATACTGAACCCTGAGTTGACCCCGATGGCCAATGGTGTGTGAGTGTAAGTGAATTAGTGTGTGTGTCTGTGAGTGAGTGTGTGTGATTGAGTGTGTGTAAATGTTAGCTTCCTAGAGCAAGTGGTAGTGCTCTGCATGAATGAGGTGTGAAATGGTGAATGACTCGTAGTATGTAATACCTCATTCACACCAACGGTGTTTCAGGGCCGGTTCGGAGCTGGAGCTTGAAAAGCACCGGGTTTTCCTGTTCACACCGCAACAAAAAATCATCCGGCTAGAGCAAAAGCACCGCATACGTCATGCTTACGTCGAGGCGGGGGCAAGGGGAATCGGTTGAAGTTGATGATTACGATTGTTAAGCAGTTTTGAATGTAGCATGTAACGACTGTAAAGTTGGTAGTAAAGTCGACCCATTTCTTCCATTTCCTTTCGACAGAGCAAAACCAAAATTGAATTGGACTCTAAGATAAGATAAAACGGACCTTTAATTCAGTAGTTTAATAGCAACAGGGTAAGAATGAAAAACAGGACAGAACAAATTAACACAGATTAGATACAATAAAATTTAAGATAAAATCAAAGGTAAAATGATATACAGGCAAGTAACTCTAAAATAAGAAATGAATAAACATGCACATATATAGGCTACCTGACCGTCTTCTCATTCCATCTCTTCCTTCTAGAAAAGCGCTATAGAAATAAAATGTATTATTACTATTCTCTCATTAGACCTTGAGTCTCTTCAATAAAGCTGATGATGATGATTAGAAAATATCATTTACCATAGCAAACAGGTGTAAACAGTGCCTGCAGGTAGAGGTAACATCTCTTTTTGCTCCTCTCCAGATGGCCTCCAGTGATGCTCGGCTCCAGCAGCAGCCCTCTCAGAAGGATGCGGCTGACCAGAACTTCGACTACATGTTCAAGCTGCTGATAATCGGCAACAGCAGCGTGGGAAAAACCTCCTTCTTGTTCCGCTACGCAGACGACTCCTTCACCTCCGCCTTCGTCAGCACCGTCGGCATCGACTTCAAGGTCAAGACGGTCTTCCGCAACGACAAGAGGATCAAGCTGCAGATCTGGGTGAGTGGATTAAAGATGGGATTATTAGTGGTTGTAATTTGTGGCTTTCATCATCCCTTCAATCTTTTTAATGCTATTTTATCTCTATTTCAGAAATATTTTGGACTGTTTATTTCTAGTGTCTTAATTTCTCCTATTAATTGCCTTGTTTTTTATGCTGCTGCAACACAAACATTTCCCAAATTGGGATCAATAAAGTACCTACCTACCTACCTACCTACCTACCTACCTACCTACCTACCTACCTACCTACCTACCTACCTACCTACCTACCTACCTACCTACCTACCTACCTACCTACCTACCTACCTACCTACCTACCTACCTACCTACCTACCTACCTACATTGCATTTAGCTGACGCTTTTATCCAAAGCGACTTACAATAAGTACATTCGACCAGGATGACACAACCTTGAAGAAAACAGAATCATATAAGTACATCAGGTTTCATAGAGCCAAACATTTCAAGTGCTACTCCATTGGCTTTAGGTAAGCCAGTCCTTTATTAGTATAAAAGTGCTTCGTTAATAGTTCTAACGCTCGAAGTGGAGTCGAAAGAGATGAGTTTTCAGTTTGCGCCGGAAGATGTGCAAGCTATCTGCCCTCCTGATGTCAATATTATAATGTTTTAGGCAAGATACTTGAATAAATATATTTTTACCGTGCTATCAAATTGGTGGAATTTTACAGGTATTGTTATCAACTATCTGTTATTGTGACGTCACTAATCGGGACACAATATACGTTGCCACACCGAAAACATATACCTGCTGAAGTATCATAGTGAATATATGAGAATCAGAATCAAAAATACTTTAATTATCCTGGGGGGAAATGTGTTTTGTTGTTGTTGATCCATTTTAGAAACAAACAAACATTGAAAAAATGACATTTGAAAAACAAATATGGGTTTATATGTGTTGCTATATAAACCATGATTTGCTGGCTGTTTTGATTACGTTTTCAGGTAGGTATTTTTGTCTCTTTCATAGAAAATAGCTGTCAAAGCAAAATAACTAAGTTAATGAATAATTAAGGCTGCTCTGATGCATCTCCTGTAGCTCTGTAATCTCTTGATGTATTTACAGAAAGGCTTAGGAGCAAGTCTAAACAATTACACAAGCGTTACATGATCAAAATCAATAGTTTGGAAGACATATTTTATATACTTGCAGCAATGATGGCACCGCATTTGATTTTTGTCCAAACATCAAGGAACAGTCAGATGATGAGCAGTTTCTTTGGAGGTAAATAAAGTATAGAAGACGGGGATATAAGGAAAATGAAAGTCAGCCCGTGCTTGTTTTCACCAAGAAGTGTAAAATGCATGACCTCCTCATGGTGGCATTCACATTCCTACTCCCTGCTCTTATCAACTTGCACAAATGAAGGAGTAAAAGATTAAAGTTTTCACATTTTCATACTTTTGCATAGTTGTGGAGGTCAGAATGTAGCTGCTAAAGCTCAGAATTAAGAAGCAGGTTGCTTACTTTAGTTTTACAGTAGTTTATTGTGGGTTTTAGAGCATTTGTGCTGAAAATAGAAAATGTTGTTTCTGATAACCAGGCTTTATGAGTGAGCCAAAGGACCGAACCAAAATCATGAAAGTTGTGGACACTAAAACATTTTTTTTTTAGAGAACTGCTAATTGCAAAAAACCTCCAAATTACACACTACACATAAGTCATTTGACCCATATATTATGTAAACAACATAGAATATTGCTACTTTACATTTTCAGTAAACAAAATCAGTTTGTGTATAGATAATACTTCTCTTATGCAAAAAGCTTTTTTGAGTTGCCTGTATGACTTTCAAATATTAATTGTTGCCTGTGTCATGAGTTTTGAGAACTTGTCATTGCCACATTGCAAGAGTTCGTGGCTTTTTTGACCAATGTGGCTGCAAGTCATGCAGAAGTTGTAACAATTTATTTATTATTATCAGCTGATTAACTTAGCCCTAAGACCTGAAACAGCTGCTAGCTCAGAACAGCTAGTTAGCTGCTAACCTACAGTATAACAACTATCTTGTAACGCTAACAAAACACTGAGATATGCATTCATTTAAAGTAATATTATAATAAAATATACAAGGTTCAGGTTTTATAATATATAACCTGGAAAAGGAAAAAGCTTCAAACAGCTAGCTTCAAACCTAGCTTGAAACCACTGCTAAATTGAAACCGTTGCTAGCCTGGAACAACTAGCTGGTAATGCTCACAAAACACTGAGATATATGCATTAATTTTAAGTAATATTACAATACAATATTCCCAAGAGCTTGATGTGTCTTTATGTATTTTATTAAAACCAGCTGATGACTTTAACACCGAAAGCACGAAAACAGAAAGCTTCAAACAGCTAGCTTGAAACCACTGCTAAATTGAAACCATTGCTAGCCTAAAACAGCTAGTTCGAAACAGCTGCTACCCTGAAACAACTAGCTTGTAATGCTAACTTAATTTGAAGTAATATTACAATACAATATTCACAAGAGCTTGATGTTATGTTTGTATATATTTGATTAAAACCAGCTGATGACTTTAACACCAGAATCACACACACGGAAAGCTTCAAACATAGCTTCAAACCACTGCTAGCCTGAAATAGCTAGTTCGAAACAGCTGCTACCCTGAAACAACTAGCTTGTAATGCTAACTTAATTTGAAGTAATATTATAATACAATATTCCCAAGAGCTTGATGTTATGTTTGTATATATTTTATTAAGACCAGCTGATGACCTTTACACCTGAACCAAGAAAACGGCAATCTTCAAACATAGCTTGAAACGGTTGCTAGCCTGAAACAGCTAGCTTATATCAGACAGCTAGTTTGAGATTAATCACCACCTCTGACAGAACCCGGGTTTCCACCGATAGACTTTAACATTGTATTAAAAGGTGTATCCGTAATTTTTCTCTTGCACACAATTCTCACAATACACTTGAAATCCAAATGATATACATTGTTAATGCTCTTCAAACACATGATTCATTTGAACCAACAGTGTGTGAGCCAATTTACGACACACGGAGATGATTCAGCAGCAGAGGAGCCAACACCAAAACACACACAATCTGCTACCTGACCAAACATGTCTCTTGTTTAATGACATGAAATTAGTTACTGCAAACAGCTGAGGAAGAGGAGGGTCAAATAACTAGATGTAATAACCTGAGTTGGGAATAACATGGACAATTACAACGAAAACGTTGTCATGGAGTCCTTGATTTTATTTTGGAAACGTCTTCAATAATGGCTGTTTGAAAAGATCATGCCATAAATTTGTATCAAGTTTGATTAATTATAAATGCAAACTACTGTATACAGTTAAATAAATTACCCCTCCCATGGTTCCAGGCTCTATAAAGTGTGACTAAACTAATATTTGTTTTTTAATGATGTATTATTGAAAATGGAGTTTGTAGCCTATTCCATTACATTACATTGCATTTAGCTGACGCTTTTATCCAAAGCGACTTACAATAAGTACATTCGACCAGGAAGACACAACCTTGAAGAAAACAGAATCATATAAGTACATCAGGTTTCATAGAGCCAAACATTTCAAGTGCTACTCAACTGGCTTTAGGTAAGCCAGTCCTTTATTAGTATAAAAGTGCTTCGTTAATAGTTCTAACGCTCGAAGTGGAGTCGAAAGAGATGAGTTTTCAGTTTGCGCCGGAAGATGTGCAAGCTATCTGCCGTCCTGATGTCAATGGGGAGCTCATTCCACCATCTTGGAGCCAGGACAGCAAACCCACGTGTTTTCGCCGATGGGAACTTGGGTCCCCCTCGCAGCGAGGGCGCAACGAGTCGTTTGGCTGATGCAGAGCGTAGTGCACTATTCCTTTTCTTTTACAGTGAAAATGAAATAGGCATATGTACATTATTTGAAAGTGCTCCACAGCTAAGTCCTCCATGTGGCATTTGATTAAAGAAAAGAAAAAGCACAATCTTACATAAAATAAATCATTATCCCACAAGTTGTTGAATACACACAGTGCACCTGTAGTTAGTGCCAATACTGTGAAACTAGTAGGCTACTGTGAAAGCTGAATACGCAAAACACATTTGATTTGCAGTGAAATAGACAGATAAGAGATCATTCTCTCTTAATTCCTTGTGCTCACAACATTTAAAGTGACACACCATTCAGTCATTTTCTGAATCAACCACAGACAAATACAGATCATAAAATATACGGTTCTTTAGCATTACCTGCTAAAGCATCTGTATGTTTTGAACTTTTAACACTATGTTACAGCAAGAGACAAACTATGAACGATACTCTACAAAAACTTGAAATATTGCCAAGTATATTTGTCTAATATATACATAGTCAGAATATGTCTTTACACTTGCTATAAGACATAATAACTTCAGAGGGATATCGGGTCTTGTTTTTAGACAATGGATCATCTTGTTGAGTCAAAACATCTTATTTTGAGTTGTATCTCAGATGAAACACATAATTTTTTACATATTTATTACAAAATCACCAACTAACATCAGAAAACAGAACACTTTTTAGCATTTGCGGCTCATATTGTAACACAACATTTCCTGATTCTGGTAAAATATAGTTAAAATATTTAGTTCTCCCAGATAATTACAAGATCTGATTTATCTAACCATCCCTTCTTATTTCAAGAAATGTTACCAAGCTAATTTTCTCTTGTTCTATTGGCAGATTTTTGTACTTATTTCAAGTGAAAACAGCTTGTTTTCATTATTGTTTAACTTGTTTTTGGAGCAGCATTTTTTACAGTGTACTCTACTTTCCTTTTTAAATTACCAAATGAAGTCAACATTTTAAGGTGTGTACTAATTTGGTTTGGGTTTCTTCAGCTACTTTTATTTATAACAGCATAAGAACGCACTTGTGCCGTCTTTGGAAAATGGTAGTTTTCCCACAGAAGTTCAACAATAACTCACTGTCCCATCATAATTACGTTGCCTAGTGTAAGTGCAGTCGTATTCTCATAGGACGA